CAACTATGCTCTTCCAACAAGCTATGTATTGGTCTTTCGCTGCTTTGTCAGACTGTTTTTTCCTAATACCTACCGCTATCTTCCTGGCCATCTTGGATCCTTGTCTGCCTCCTTTCATCCTCCAAAGTGGCAACATCGCTTTTAAGAAGTTTATTCAGGGGAAAGAGCATAGTTGACTGCTTTCTGAGTCTGCACAGCGTTAAATGTTGAGGAGAGGCTTCTGCTGTTCACAGTTTTCACCTTGCTTGCACCTTGCTGTTTACCAATCAAAGGAGATTTTCATTCATGAATTCTGAATCATAGAACATCCTTAACTTTGTATTGGAGATCACCCTCTCATTTACACACAAGCATGTTTGAGGTCTTGCTCTTGTGCACCTTGGCAAGATATGATTAGTAATCCTGAGAGAATTCTTACTGCAAAACAGGCAAAACACTCATAAATTTCTCCTAAAATAAAAGCACAATGCATCCTTCACCTTGTTTTGCCTTCAACATTGGCATCTTGTGGCCATGTATTCATGTTACAAGCTCCACTTTGCAATCATGCTTCAGCTCCTCAGCTGTTATAGTTAAATATCTCCTTTTTTCTTCTTGAGGTATTAAGTAAACATTCCCACAAATCATGGAAACAGTGAGGAAGGGGTATCTCATGCAATGTTTGGAGGAATGGCAACAATACAATGTTCATTCTACCTAGGGGCAGAAGTTGCTGTTTGTCCTTATAGATGGTGGCTTTCTAGACCTTCTGGCTAGAACTTCTAAAGATAATGAACTTTGCTGGACTGCTGCAGAACCACGGCCATCAGGCTGGCCTTACAGCCCCCTGGCATTTGCATGAGGGCAAACAGTATGTATCTGAGCTTTACCTGAGCCCTACCTAACACCTTTTCTGCAAACTCCAGTTAGGGACAGGTGCCTCTGTACTCCAAGACGAGTCTGAGAGCTGCCCTGCGTGAGCCGCAAGTCCGCTGCCCACAAAGTCAAGGGCAGCTCAGTATGGCAGCTTAATCCCTAGGTAGAAGAAGGTACTAAGACCTTTTGGGTATCAGCGTGAAAACCAAGCAAACACACTTAACATAACAGAACAGTCAAAGCCATGGAGCCCAACTTTAATGGCAGAATAATGGAACTCTAGCAATTTAGTCTCAGGTACTTCATGATGCAAGTGAATCATTTTTTGCCTCCTAAAGTTTTAAAGCTGCATCCCAGAGCTTTCCCTCATCTGAAGTAACAAAACAAAACAAACAAAAGGATACAGTTTAATAGTTCAATGTACAAAGGTCCTGTGCTGAAGGGGAAATGATAAGGATTTTTTACATAAATCTGGAGGAGCAGATGAAAAAAGAAGAGAAGGCAAGAAAGAACAAAGAAGAATGTGAAGAGTGTGTGGTTCTGCCAGAGTGCTCTATTTAAAAAAAGAAAAAAAAAAAAGGGAAAAAAGGTAATGTGAGTGAAGATGGCAATCCATGGAGTGTTTTTAGCAAAGATAAGGAAGTATTACAACTGCTATATAAAGTGTTCTTAAGGTCACACTTGAATTACAGGACAACACACTCATCTTTGATGCCTGCTAAACCCTTTTGCTTTGGCGCTGGCCAATCCTTTGCTTTTGTGCTCCCTTCAGACCTAACTACATCCTCTCATATTCCTCTTTACAGAACACGGCCATAAGAAGGTTCAATTGTAACACAGTAAGGGCTGAAGAACTCTTTCTTCTTTCTCGTAAGATCTTCATTTATTAAGACATCACCCTAGTTACCATCATAGTAAAAGAGTAGCTTTAGCCTGGGTGTTCCTCAAACAACTGTAACTCCCAAGCTACCCTGAAAAGGTTCAAAGGGGGTAACAATGGATTAGCAAGAACTTTTTTTTTTAATATAGATTAATTAGAAGATCACTAGAAGTGATTCTGTTTGCCAAAATGGGGAATATGTGTTTACACACATTGCCACTGGGAACTACAACCAATTCTTCTCCCCTTGGAGAAGCTGAACTGCTGCTGCCACCAGCTGGTTGTTCGCTGGTCTTTGGCCAGAAAGGGTCCTACTCAAAGAAGCCCCAGGAAGACAGTTAGGCCCCAAAGTAGATTGAAAAACATTGCTCCATTCCAAAATACGTTTTGGGACTTGACAAATGACAAGGCCTATATTGGTTAAAAGGGCAAACTCATAATTGCATACACAATCAGCAAGAGTTATCCAGGGGTATGGCTA